AAATTAAATCATTATCATCTCCTAGACGTCGCTCAATTTATCAAATTGTTAAATTTAGACAAAATATTTCAGAGAGGCTTGAAACAATATAAAACATCTAAGAACACGTTTCTGGAAATTTTAAGCATCTTTAGTTACCACCCAAAATCTATCACTAAAAGCCTGTAACGCCCGTTGCTAAAACCCAGAATTGTACCCTCACGAAAAATAACTAAATCGATCGATCTAACTCAAAGGGATCGAGTTTCCTTACCTCTAGAACGTGCCTAGGCCTAGGTTGGATGACCCGGGACGTTGATCTCCTTGTTGATCGAACCCTCAACGTCACCGCTAATAAAATATGAGCTTCGAATTAGAATATCGATAAATCGAGTTTAGAAATCGCTAAGGGATTCGTGATCCTTACCTAGAAACACGAAAGGAATGGGATTCGGAATCGGGGTAGGAAGAGGGCGCTCCCTTTCTTCTTCTTCCTTCGCCTCGCGCTCGGTACACAAGTAAGGGCGGCGGTTGGGGAATAACAAGAGGGGTGGGGGGTTTATTTGGGGAGGGGGAAGGGTTTTTTGCTGGGGAGGATTTTATTGGCGGCGGAGGGGTTTTGTGAAGTGGGGGCTCGGCCCCTAGGGCCGCCCCACTTTGTCCTCTATAATTTTTTTTAATAAGATAATAATAATAATAATATTATTATTCTTAATCCGTGGTTGTAACTCTAAGTACGTAACTGTCAATCCAACCGATCACGTATTAAGTTCGAACCTAAATCTAAAATATCGGGGTGTTACACTTTTCTTCCAATCGTGTGGAGGGTCAATGAAATTAAAAGGGGGGGGGGGTTAGAAGCTCTATTCCTACCCTTAAATACACATCCTCGAGTACGCAAACTGTTTAACGGGTTGAATTTATACTTGTACTAGAGACGGCTTAGCTTCACCTTGTAGGACTCCCCCACTAAGGATTACTAAATCTCTTCCAAAACTCGATTTTGTGCAATGAACGATGCCACACACGTTGGGCTTACCCGGTGTTTAAAATTTCAAATTTTTGACATGGAGTACCAACTTAATTTTTTATACGCACATTGAGCACCCTTTTACGATACATGAGTCCACAAAGAGCACAAAGTGAGATCGATACCATATGAATGAAAGGTCCTAAATCCACTAGTTCACACAATCAACTAACACATCATAGAGAAAGATAGGACAGATCTTATACTTCAGCATCCTCCATAGCGCTGCAACTACACCCTAGGTTGCATATCACTATAAAGACTGTCAATTCAAAGCATACTGAATACGCGATTGCAAGGAACACGTGCTTGGAGCCTTCAAATCAAAATTTGGATAGTGAACTAGGCTCCAAGCACACAAACACTTCTAAGCATTCAAATAGAAACCCCCCCCCCCCACCCCACCCACACACACAATTAAGTTCGACATTGCCCTCAATGAGTAAGAGGGAAGGATAAGGGGGACGATGTTACATGAAAAACATACTGCGACAGGACTAGAAAGTGGACCAGTGAGGAACGGGGAATGGGAAAGGCACCAGTCGCTGCAAGAAGGCTCACAAAAATAACCACTCGATCATGAAATGTTAGGGACAGTTGCCGACCAAATGGGCTAAAAAAAAAAGAAAACAAACACACCGATATAGTTCAAACTCTGACACACAAGGAGCAACCACAAAGACAAAGAAAAAAAAGGAAAACATACAGAAACGGTCGGCGAGTACATCCTACACGTCGGTGTTAACGTCGACGTCGAAGTCAATCTCTGCCATGAAGTCATTGTCGGCCAGTGGTAGAGGTGGTGGGGGTGAGGGTACCCATGGCATAGTCTAGTTGTGCTCTGGATGACAGGATTGGAGGAGATGCTCATGGTACTCCATCATCCGGCGATTGCGGTCTCGCTTATGCTAAATCTGGGCACGGATCACACCCTACTTGGACTCAAGGTGGTCGAGATGGTAGTAAAGCTGGGCTAGACGGCTGAAGTACTTCTCCTGATGAGCCCAGGAATACATGATCTGTTTTTCCTAGTTAGCTAGCTGCTGGAACTGAGTGGTGAAGAAATCCATTGACGAAATAGAAAGACCGGAGAAGGACTCACCTTGCTCCTATCTCCATCGTGGAGGCAGATTCTCCTTGGGAGAGAGAGGCTGCTCGTGGAAATCTCGCCCTTGTCGCTCTCAGCAATAGGGATAGAAACTCCCTTAACCCACTCTTATCCATCAGCCGACATCAGCAGCCCCTGGCTGAAGATGACATCCTGGGTTAGGTAGAAAGAGCCAGCGGTGGAGGATGTGTCGGTGAGACCGTTAAGGCTGATGCCCAGCTTCCTGACCAGAATAGTAACCAAGGCACCACTAAACCTATGTCGAGAATGTTTGGGCCACCTAGCAAAGGTCTTTGCCACCATGGAGCCCAAATGTAGGTTGTCATTCGTCTACGTCATCGTGTACATATGATACAACGACCGCTTGGTGATCTTGTGGGAGGATGTGACACTAGGGCAGACCGAGCGGGTGAGGATGAGATGGATAATCGCAGGGAAGCCGACTGACACGCTACGACACAACACCAAACTCCGATCAAGTATAATTGCAGAATGGAAATGCAGAATAGCGGTTAAGTCTAATTATCGACTTGGGCTCTAGATCTACTGCCTACTGAGTGAACTCCTATTATCTATCAGGAATATGAGAATGAAGTGTTTTTGGTGCAAAAGAAACAAGAAAACAAGTAATGGTCCGGTTCTTTCAAGTTCAAAAGGTCATCCGGGTATGGTTCCCCCTAGTGTGCAGCTAGTTCAAGTTATACTGTTCCAAATTACTCAGATTGATAGATAAACCGCGAAAATTTCTTAACTGGTCTGGACTCTCGACTGAAGTGATCCAGACCCTCTTGAATCGAATACCCGGCGCGCGACTAACCTCCACCGGCATACACTAACCAAGGAAAATCACGTGAAACTTCCACTACTATCCTTATGTTCCAATACGGAGCAGTGATTTGACTTCTCGACTAAAGCATCCGATTCACCACTTTCAATTCAAGGTTGCTCTTTTAACCTATGCAGAGACTATCGTTCTAGGTTAAAGCCTGAAATACACAGGTTTGATTAGCTATCATGCAATTCTGAATAATTCCTCAACAAAATTTATCCAATCAATCATTCATAACTTATAGTTCATACAATCATTCCTAACATATACAACTAGGGTTCTTCATGCTCGGTGTAGACATCATCAAGACGACAATGGACAACCGCTCTTGGCGGATAATCGATACTCCGAGGTTGGGGAATCGAGCTCCGAGGTCTTCAGATCACTCCAATCCTTGCCCAATGCTTTTGCTTCGTTACTTTCTCTCTAGGGTTTGTTTTTTTGCCTTTGGAACTCAGAAAAATATGATCCCTTGCAAATTTCCCTAGAAGCCTTTAAATAGACTGAGAACCCGCGAGTTATGACCTAAGTTACGGCCGTAACTCGCCTTGACAGCTCATAACTTGTTGAGAAACGGCGTCGTTGTTTCACTTCTTAGTCCAAGAGTTACGACTTTCTTTGGGGACTTACAGTCTCGACCGTAACTTGGAGAGGGAGAACGAAACCCCAAAAGTGCTCCTGGAACTGATGTCGATGCTTCCCAGGAGTTACGGGTGCCCAGGCTGAGTTATGGCCTTGACCGTAACTTGGAAGGTCACCCAGTAACTCCAAGAAGCCTCCTGGAACTTCTTCATTCTTCCACTTGCAACTTACGGTTCCTCTAGGTGAGTTACGGGCCAGACCGTAACTTGCAAGGTCTGGCCGTAACTCCCAAGATCGAACTCCCCACTTGCTCCAAAATGTCCCAAAACTACGCTCCTTCACGCCCATTCACGTTCTAAGTCCCGAAATATCATAAAGGAACACAACCTAGCATAAAATAGGCCATTAGAGCGAAGGGCCAAGGTCAAACGGTCGAGAAACGAAGGGAAAAACATGTTAGAATATAGTGTTATCAAATTCCCCCACACTTAACCGTTTGTCCCCAAGAAAACCTAACTCAAACCAATGCAGCTCTCCAGACCTTTATCGTAACATGCAACCCCGGTCGTCGGTAGAGGATTTCCTAGATAAATTAGCAAATTACGAGGTCACTAGTCTTCTAAGATGTCCCATATCTCTCTCAATGTGAGTACTAGACTCAAGCCAGGATCATGAGAAGTAGTGGAAGTAAGACATCCAATTTATGGATAAGGAGACTCACAAAATTTTGACGACCAAGGACTCATCGTATTGGGTGCTCTTCCATTTCATTTCAATCGTTGGAACCCCTTTTCAAACTTTCATTTTATTTTTCTTTTGTTTTTCTCATTCACACTTTGCTGGGGTTCCAACTGCAGTTTTATGCACGGTCGACCCTTATTGGTTGAGCAAGAGTGATTTTTGTACATCTATCACTTGCCAGAGTACTTCTTTTAACTCTTTTTCCTCAACTCGTGTGGAGGGTCAATGAAATTAAGGGGTGTCGGAAGCTCTATCCGTACCCTTAAAAATACACCCTCGAGTAGGCAAACCGTTGAACGGGTGGAATTTTTACTTGTACTAGAGACAACTAACCTTCACCTTGTAGGCCTACCCCACCAAGGATCACTAAAATCTCTTCCAAAATGCGATTTTGTGCAATGAACGGTACCGCACACGTTGGGCTTACCCCATGTCATAAAATTAGAATCTCCAACATGGAGGACCAACTGTCTTTTCATTTCACACAATTGAGCACATTTTTGCGATATGAGAGTTCACAACACAACACAACACAACACAACACAACACAACACAACACAACACAAGGAGAGTCATCAATACCACATGAATCAACAATCCTAAATCCACTAGTTCACAAAATCAACCGGCACAACAATGAGATAGATAAGAAAAATCTTATACTTCAACGTCCTCCATAATGCTACAACTACCTCCCTAGGTTGCATAACACATAAAGGTTGTCAATTCAAAGCATACTGAGCAAGTTATTGCAAGGAACAGTACTTGGGGCCCTCAAGTTTAAAAATTTGGACAGTGGACTAGGCCCCAAGTATAAAAACTCATCTATGTAGTCAAAGAGAAACACCCCCTCCCCCCACACACACACTTAAGAATGGCATTGCCCTCAATTGAGAAGAGAGAACGATAAGGAGAACGATGTTACCAGTAAAAACGGACTGTAGGGAGACTGGAAATGGACCAATCATCAAGAGCGCACTGGACAGTGGACCAGTTTCTGAGAAGCAAGGCTAGACAAACACAATCACTCACAATGGGCAAGAGTTAGGATAATAGTCGTCAGCCCCATGGCTTCAAACAAACAAGAAAGAAAACAAACACCAACAATAGACACAAAACACATGGAGCTCGCAATCAAGTATCACTCCTCCTCGTCATCATCCCGCGGTGGATAAGGGTGCCAGAAGTCTTGGGTGATGTCCACATCAGCCTCCGAGCATAGGCGCTCCAGCAGGAAATGGGAGTAGTGCCTGCCATGCCGCTCACGATCGAGACGTGCCTCGATCCGATCGAAATGAGCCTCCATGGAGGCCCAGTAACTACCACCTGGTGCGGCTGAGGAGGGCCCAACATCCTGGTCGTCGGGGTATGACTTGACTGGTGGAGGTGGTGGAGGCTCGGCTGCGACGACCTCGTTGAACTTTGCCGGACGCAAGCCTCTGATCCATCGGATCCGCGGATCTGTCTTCATTGGCCTATGCTGAGATTTTGGGGAGATTTGGAGCACGTTTTTCACGGCCAAGTCACCGGCGGTGAGTCTCCTACGAGCTTCCGACGAAGCTCAGACGACCCCTCTCCGGTCAATTTCCTGATCGTTTTTCACCGTCCTCGCCCGCACCTCACTTCCTCCTACGTCCCAATTTAGTCTCCGGGGTTTTTTTCGACATTACGTTTATGAATTGTGGAGAATCGGATTAGGTAGAGAAGTGAGGTTGAATTTTTGTGCTTTGCACGATTGAATTTAGATTTAGGGCAAGGAATTGGGTGAATTCGGTCGATTGAATGATGGATTGATTTTTGCATGAGCTTAGTGAGCCTTGGTAGTTGTGTTTGAGTAGAATTGTGTTTATTTTTAGAATTTGCCCACCAAGTGCTATGTTATGAATGCAAGTGGAGTTTACTCTTGTTTGGTGAATGGTAGCCACCATGGTAAGGGTTTTGGCCCAACTCATTGTGTGCTTGAACCGTGAATTACCCACAACCATGCCATGGTGGTTTGGGATTAAATGTTTGATAACCATGGTGGAAAAACAAGTGTGTGTGTGGGGGGGGGGGGGATTTCTTTTCCTCCCAATGAGCATTATTTCATGAATGTTTCCACGTAGAGTGTGTGTTTGTATTTGTGCAGGATGCTTAACTTGGAGCATGAGTTCATCAGTTATATAGTGAACCATCCGAACTTTGGCGACAAGTTCGCCTACCAGAATGGCAGCCCCATTGGGCCTCACTGGCGGCTGGACCTGGACATGTTTAACTTGCTCAGGTGCCGAGATGCGATGACTAGAGTGCTCAGACCATGGACGAGGAGATCTACCATGAGATGTGTGTGGAGTTCTACTCCACCTTCTCCCACATCGTCCCGTACAACAAGAAGAGTCGGCCACAGGTGGAGTTTATGCTGGGAGGTCAGCCACGAGTGCTGACATACGATGCCTTTGCACAGGCCATTTGGCTCGATACAGCCAATATGACAATGACGGAGCGGCAGTACACCATTAACTTCAACTATCAGGGCACATTCGAAGCCCTCTGCCGCCCAGAGCACGAGTAGGACGAGTTCGAGGGGAGCCGCATCAATGCGGTGAAGCTGAAGACCTAGTGGAGAATCCTCCACACTCTGGTCACCAGATCCATCATCCCCAGCCTCAAGTCAGGCCACTTGATGACGAACAGAAGGCTCATTGCCCTCTACTCGATGAGGAGTCCAGCAGAGCCGATCCATCTAGGATCTTTGATCGCCACCTCTTACGCCTGGTGTCTAGGGCGGAATAGAGTGGACACTATGCATATGGGGGGCCTCATCATGAGGATCACCCGTCTTTTCCAGATGGATCTGGCCCGCTGCACTAAAGTCGGAAGGATGGAGCCCTTCCCAGTGGAGACATTGTATAACCAGAAGCTGGTACTCCAGGGCGAGAGAGGAGTGGAGTACCTTGACAGACTCCAACCTTCCGGATTCATCCGAGCTGCAGTAGCATCGGCTCTAGTAGAGCCTGACCCCGAGGTCATGCAAGCAGCCGAGCAGCCACCTGCTCATGCACCCGGCGACCCCCGACGCCTAGTACTCCAGCGCCCTGCACAGCAGCCACCACCAGCAGCAGGCGATCCCTTGTCTAGAGGGTGGAGTGCTTAGAGACGAACTTTGTGGGATTCTCATCCCTCCTCGACCGGCAGAGCGACATCCTCGAGCTAATGGCTCGATGCCATGGTATCCTACCCGATGATGGAGAGGGTCCTACCACCGGAAAGAGGTAGCCGACGAGTGAGACACGTGGCAGAGAGGAGTCCTTTCACCCCATTTATCTACTTGTAACCCTGAACTTGTTTTATTTTTATTTTTTTGTTATTTTTCTTCATTTTGTGTGTGTGACATAAACAACCACTATGTATTGTGCTAGTAATAACCTCTCCTCGAGCGAGTTGTATTGTGTTTGTGTGTGTTTTTTTTCTTTCCTTGAAGCTCAATTATCCTACCCCCGTTCGATTCCAACTTTCACTCACCAAGCTCAAGCGATAACATCATTCTACGCCTTTCTTACGCCAATGAGGGCAATGTCGAGTTTAAATGGGGAGGGGGGTAGTTTACTAGTACGCTTGTGTGAGTGTGATTAATGCTTGGAGCATTTTGTATGCCCAAATTTCAAACATTTGATGGATCCAAGCACTGTTTGCATAAGCAAAGTGGCCGAAATGTGTCATCCTTTAGTGAACTCTTTTGAGTCGTGTGACTTCGAGGGTCGTTCTCAATTGAGGAGCTTCGTGCGTGTGAGCTTAATGGTGTTAATAGAACGAACCCAATCCTTTCTCCGTGTCTAAACATGAGTCGTTCTTGTGTCTCGGAGCTCTCGCCTTTGAGTTTCCATAGAGGTTCTACATAGGAGGTTCGTGAGCAGTCCTTACTAGGGATGAGAAAAATGAAGTGTAGTGTTAGAGTGAGTTCCTCAAAAAGAGAGCATTGGCCGTTAAATGTATAGGTGGCAAGTGTTTTTACTCTCTAGCACCCCCCCCCCCTCGAAAAGAAAAGAAAAGGGACACGAAAAAGAGGTAATAAAAAGGGGTAAATAAAGTAGAGAGTGCCACATTTTTTTAGAACTCCTTCACTACCAAACCTTAATGTGCTAGCAAGGGTAGGCCGAGGAAGAGCGCTTCAATGTAGTTCACGATGGGTGATAGTTTGGAAAGGAGGTAAGGATTTTGGCCGGTGCTAGTGGCCTTGGGTTGAAAAGAGGGGTTTTAGTCGAAACCATAGAACCTTCGGGTTTAAGTTGAACATGTAGAACCTCACGTCAAGATTCCCACCACCCAAAAAGAATTTTTCCCATGTCCAAGACAATTGCCAGTCATCTGAACCCGTTTCTAAGACCTGCGGACGAGCTAGTGGTGACAACCATCCCGTGAACTCTAGCATCTAGAGGTTACCACCATGGTATTGAGACGATAGGTCCGAGAGTTAATGATTGTGCACATCTTTTGCACCAAAAAGGTCCCGACCCCACTGGTCTTGAGAGTGAGTGATTCATTCTTGCTTTGCATGTCATATCATACCCCGGTGAGGACCTTTGTTACCTTTCCATTTGTTCCTCAGACTTGAATTCCATGCATGGTCAGTTGTGGTTGATAAGTGGTCTTGTTGCGACTTGCATTGATCTTTGAACAAGGCGAGAACTTTTCGTTTTCCCGTTATTGATGGCTTCGAATGTCGTTTGTGGTGGATGTGGTATTGCTTGCAACGGTCCATGTATTGATTGCCAATAGCCATTGAGAATTCCCACTTTGTGCCCTTTGAGTTGTCCCCAAAGTACTTGTGTAGGTTGAAATATTACCTTGTGTGAAATGGTTTGCTTGGGGACAAGCAAACGTCTAAGTGTGGGGGAATGATTCGGGCCTAATTGTACATGTTTTGCCCGCGTTTTACTTAGGTGTTTGTGCCAAATTCACTCCTAAAAGGTTGTATTTATGCTAGGTTCCTCGTGTTTTAGTTTGTTTTAGGATTTAACAGGTGAAACCAACCTCGGAGTCAAAAGTTGGGCGAAAAGGATCGAAAACTGGAAGAAGAGGTGAAAAAGGGCCAGTTCACGGCTATCCAAGGAAGTTCACGGTCTTGCATGACCGTGAAGAGGATCCCTAGATCGTGAATCGTGAGGCGTCTAGAGCCAAAACAGAGGTTACTGACGCAAGGTGTGTTCACGGTCGCTAAGACCGTGAATGAAGGTTGTTGACCGTGAACAGAAGAGATCGAAACGGTGCGTTTTGGCACACGCCTGCAGTTTACGGACGCGTTTCGTGGTTCACGGCCGTGAACTTAGGCCATGAACTGAGCTCTTCTCTGGTTTAAATGATGAGCTGAAAGGAGGAGAGAGGGGAGAGCCCACTTTGTGTGAAAAGCCTTCTTAAGATTTCTAGAGAGAGAAACACGAACCAAGGAAGAAGAAGGCTAGGGTTTTGCTTCAAGGTGGATTTTGTGAAGATTTCCTCCAAGGAAAGCTCAAAACAAGGGCCAGGGAGATTGGGAGCATCCTCCAAGATGGTTTCCTCTTCTTCTTTTTGTGTTTTCCCCATTTCTAGCATGGAGTAGATCTCCTTTCACTTGGGTATTGTGAAACCCTAACTCTACCATGTAGTTTATTTTATGTGAATTCAATGATTGTCATTGGGTACTGTTTAGTTCAAAGATTGAGTTATTTTTTATGATTGATTGTGCATGCTTGTGCTTAGCGACCTAAGGGTTGTGCATGTTTTGTGCTTAGCATCCTTTGGTTTGTGCATTTTGGTGCTTAGCAACCTAAGGATTGTGCATAATTGTGCTTAGCACCCTTAGGTTTGTGCATGTTGGTGCTAGCAATCTAATTAGCCACCTTAACCTAGCTTAGAGAGGAAAATCCCCCTTCCAAGGGAGACTCAATCGAGTAGGTTTTCCTTCAGCTTTTAAGACACCTAACTAGGTTAATTTAGGGCAACCCTCACTGTTGAATTAAGTAAATAGGTTAATCGTGATTAAGCCGTCCGACCTTTGAGTTGAGTGAGGGAGTAAGTCAATTACCAATTGCCTAAACCGAGAGGGTCAAGTGACACAACCTTTATCGTTCACCTCGATTTAGCAATTGAGATTGTGGTCCCCGAACATGTATGCATCCCTCTGCGGTTTGCGATTACCTTGCCCAAAACAATCGTTCCAATTCACATATCATGGTAGCAGTTAGGGGGAAGTGACACCCGAGTGATCCTTCCACAAAAGAGTTTTCGAACCCATTTACCTTTGCTTTATTTTGTTACAATTAGCAAACTTTCAAACCAAAACTTTGTTGCTAGATAATGATTTCAACAATTGAAGTAGGGGTAGACGGACCGACCCGGGTTGATATCTAAATACTTGCTCTATACTGCACCCGACAAGAGTTTAACAACTTGGACTCTAGTCGGGATTTTTTGTGGTGTAGTTTCGTGCGAGTCAAGTTTTTAATGTCGAACTCCTGCAATGATAAGATCCTACAACAACATTTTCGTCTCCCTTCTTGTCTTGGATCTCGATGTCGAACTCCTGTAGTAATAAGATCCATCGTATGAGCCGAAGCTTGGCATCAGCCTTGCTCATCATGTATCTTATTGCGGAATGATCTGTGTACACTATCATACGGGACAAGACCATATAAGGGAAAAACGTGTCGAAGGCGAACACCACCACCAACAACTCCTTCTCTAAGGTGGTGTAGTTCTCCTGGATTCATTGAGGGTCTTTGAGGCATAGTAGATAGGACAAAAATGCTGGTCTCGCCTCTGCCCCAGGATAGCTCCAACTGCAAAGTCACTTGCATCACACATAAGCTCGAACGGTAAGGTCCAATCGGGAGTAACCATGATAGGAGCATGAGTGAGCTTCTCCTTCAATGTTGCAAATGCTGTTGTGCATGCGCCAGTGAAATGGAAGGGGAAATCCTTCTCTAGGATCTTTGTCAGTGGTAGGGCAATCATCGAGAAGTCTTTGATGAACCGTTTATAGAACCGCGCATGGCTCAAGAAACTGTGGATCCCCTTGACAGATGTGGCAGAGGGAAGTGAGCTCATTCTTCTCATTTGGGACCACAGTCATCCCACCCTTCTTAGGCACCAGTTGAGTGGGACTGACCCACTCACTATCAGAAGTGGCGAAGATGATTCTAGCATCTATCAATTTGATAATCTCCGCTCGAACCACAACCTTCAGGTTCGGTGTCAATCTCAACAAGGGCTGTCTCATCGACTGAATCTCATCCTCCAACAATATCTAGTGGTAACTGAAGGAATGGCTGATCCCACGGATATCAGTGATCTTCCACGCTAGAGCTCGCTCGTACTACTTCAATAGGGCCACCAATCTTATCTTTTGCTCGAGTTTGAGGGTCGAGCTGATGATGACTGGGAGCTTGTTCCCCTCTCGAAGAAATGTATACTCTAATTCTGTGCGCTCCTCTAGAGAGGTGATGATGCAAGTCGAGGATGAGATCGGCGTGAACATTGGCTTGACTTCCAGGAACCCGCCTCGCTCGAGCGCGGCCAACTGCTCCTCAAGCTGCAGCTCCTGCGATGCCTACTCACCTAGCAAAAAACAATGCTCAAGGGCATCGTCAGTACCCACACTCGTAATGGCGAATGCGGTTTCATAATCAGCAAGCATGTCACAATAATCCAATTCATCATGCATATGGGAATGTTTCGCATTGTCATACACATAAAATGTAGCTTGTTCATCCCCAACCCGCAGAATTAACTTGCCATTATGCACATCGATCAATGCCTTTGGCGGTGGCGAGAAATGGTCTACCCAAAATCAAAGGCACATCCACATCCTCATTTATATCCAAAATAATAAAATCAACAGGATAGGTGAATGCAACCTCATTAACAAGAAAGTCCTCTATGATAGCTATAGGATGCACAATCGACCGATCAGCTAACTAAATACTCATCCTAGTGGTTCTAGGTTCACCTAGGCCTAGCTTCTTAAACAGTTTATAAGGCATGAAATTGATGCTAGTGCCTAGGTCCGCCAAGGACTTTCCTACATTTATGCATGCTTATTCTACAGGATTGCAGAACACTCCTCGCTCAGCATTACTATCGATAGATCCCTAAGTTTCTTCTTGTTGGTGAGGAGATCCTTCATGAATTTTGCGTACATGGGCATCTTCGAAAGTGCCTCCATGAACAGCATGCTGATGTTGACCTGCTTCAACGTTACCATGAATTTGGCAAACTCAGTCTCCAGTTTTTCCTTGTGCATAAAATGGGGAAGGGAAGTTGGGGAATATACTCCTTGACCACTATTTATGGCTTGGGAGCAGATGCTTCCTTCTCTATCCCCACCTCTTCATCTTCAGCCGGAAATACTGGAGCAGGTGTTGGTTCCTCCTTCTGGCCAGAGCAGGAAAAATAGACGTCATCTTGCCACTTCTAGTAGTGATGGCATCCATTTGCTAGTGAAGCTCACGAGGATTTGGAATGGTGTTGGCAGATAGAGTTCCCGGTGCCCTGATGCTGTTGCTTTGAGCTATTCCGCCAATCTAGTTATGGAGGTCCTTCAAAATAGCACTATGGTTCCTCTGGCCTGCCTCCATTGCATTGATGCACTGGTCCAATTTGGCGAACTTCTCTGTGCTGTTGCTCACGAAGGCCGTCACCATATTTTTCAGCTACGACATCTGGTCACCCTGTGCTGGGCTGCTGCCGACTGAGCAAAGTGGCTCTGCTGCTGTTGGAAGGGTTGCCCCTGTCTGGGCTAAAAAGGCTACTGCTTTGGAAATGGATCCTGTCAGGTCTAGAAAGACTGCCTTTGCTGAAAACCACCAGTTGGTGCTGTGAATCCGGGAGGCTTGGTGGTGTTGCAGTTGGTGCCACCCCTCATTAAAAGTACCAATCTAAGGTTCAAGGCGCCGAGCATTGGCGATGAAGTCTAGCTGCTCCTAGGGTGTGGAAGACTCCCGCATAGCCTGACAATCTTCCACCAAATGGTTCGAACTCTCACACCATTGGCACTGTGCTACTGGAGGTGCGGCCGGCTCTGATACCAAAATGACACGACCCAATCCTTTTGAAAACCAAACCACAACTCAAACCCCAAACCGGTTACTCCGGAGAAACCCAAAACAGTTTACAAGTCAAACCCAAAAAAAAAAATCAACAACCACAATGTTTAAGATTTTCAAGTGAAATGCCCTAAACACTTGGGCGACCTCAACCCGGAGCAACAAAACATAAAAAAAAAACCTTTAGTTTTTCTGATAAGCCGTTAATTGCACATGTTTTTACCGCTATTCCGGAGCCGTTTGAGATGGTAATTCTCGTGTTATAGGCCGATTTCACGCTAGGTTGTGTTTGTTTGTGATATTTCGGGTCCTAGCAAGTGAATGAAGGTTTAGGAGCGAGTTCGGGGTCGATTGGACGAAGATCCGGCGCGAGGCAAGTCACAAAGGAAGCCACACGGGCACACTCACAACTCACACGGCCGTGCAAGTGACCAATTTGGCCGTGTGGTATTGTGCGAGCCTTCACATGGGCACAAGTAAAATTCACACGGCCGTGTGAAGTTGCAATTTGGCCGTGTGGAATTCTGCGAGGCTTCACACGGCCAGGCTGGGTGAGCTACACGGCCGTGTGGGAATCCTGAAACCCAATTACTCGGAACGCGGCGTTTTGACCTCACACGGGCAACTGGGTATGCCACACGGCCGTGTGGCCTGCCTGTGTGAGTCGGGAATTTCTGGTTTTTACCCAATTTCGGGCTGCAAGTGAGAGGATCGGATTTTCAGAGCAAAAACAGAGCCCTAGAAAGAGAAAGTACGAAGAACACATCCTAGAAGCTATCTTGGAGCTGGGTTTCATCAAATCGAGCTTGGAGATCATCATAGGAGTGGAAATCATCATCCCAGAGCAGATTCTTCCCATTGTTATGAGTATGACTGCTTTGTATTCTGTTTTCCCCCCTCTCTCTATGGAGTAGAAACCTTCTCTCACTTGGGTATGAAGAACCCTAGTTCCATGTGTTAGGGATTTGATTGTAATGACTTGGGATGATTATACTGTTTGGTTTTAATCGAATGATGCATGTTTATTGAGTCAATTGAAGTCTGATCAGCTTTTCCAGATTTCTGCTGCAACCTGAGATAGATAGAATCTGATTAGGTTGTTAGAGCCTCATCATTCGGTAGTAGGAGATTGGCTATACGAGAGTTAGCCAGTTTACTGCTTTGTACTGGAATCTAATTCCAGTAGTGGAGTTCTGTGCTTATTGCTTCAGCTTTCTATCCCGGTGAAGACTAGTCGTCTGCCGGGTAGTTAGACTGAGAGGGCTTGGTCAGCTTAAGAGTTTCCAAGCTACTGTCGGATCTTCCTCAGTCTAATCAACAGTAAATCAACCCACGGAAATTAAAATTGAGACCTAACTAAGGAGCTAGGGGCACTCATTCCCGAGTGACTCTTCTTTGCTTGAGAAAACCGTACCAATTCCTGCTTTCTTTCTGCTTTTGCTTTAAACAACAAACACTTAACTTAGTTGGCTAGATAATAGATAATCACGGAGTAAGCAGTAGATCTAGACCCGGGTTGATAATAGAACTTGCCATTTTACTGCATTCCCGGACTGCGATTACACTTGGTCGCAGTTTGGTCTTGTGTATTGGCGTGTCAAGTTTTGGGCGCAGTTTCCGTGGAACTCTAGGTTATTGGGGAAACGTGCAAATCTGTTACTCTAGCTCTTTCTTTACTGCATTTTATCTCTTCCACCTGTGTGCCTTCACGGGTTGCTTCTGCTGATTGTGTGCAGGTAGTGCATGACCCGTAGCCAGTCGGGAGATCTACTACCGTTAGACCAGGAGCTTGAACGAACCTGCAAGAACTTCAAGCGGGCTCTAAAGGCGCGACTGGCTGCGGAGGAGGAGCTAGCACAGCTACAGATTGCTGAAGAAGAAGGGATGGGGGATCCACAGGACCATGATGTGGTCCTTCCCGAGGAGCAGACCATGGGATCCTACTGGACCGCAAGGGCTGTGAACATGAGGTCACCCATTCAACACCCTCATGTCCAAGCCAACAATTTTGAGGTGAGCACCTCAGTAATCACCATGCTGCGCGGTTCAGTGGTATTTTGTGGCAAGGAGGGGGAGTGCCCTCGTTCACATCTCAGGCGATTCCACGAGCTCATCGATGGAATCAAGATCAATGGGGTCCCAGCAGATGCCATCCAACTGAGGTACTTCCCATTCACCCTGGAGGGGCAGGCCAAGGAGTGGCTAGACACTCGACCTCCGGGCTCTATCACCACGTTCGCCACCCTGGCGGACAAGTTCCTCACCCGCTACCATCCTCCATCCAAGACGGCGGACCTGCAGAAGCAAATTACCCATTTTGCTCAGGATGAGGATGAGACCATCAGGGATGCTTGGGAGAGATACACCAATCTCTTCCTCAAGTGTCCCAACCATGGTTTTACTGATGCCTTCAAGGTGGGAACCTTCTATCATGCTCTCTTCCCGGAGGACAAGCAGCTGATTGACTCGGTCTGTGGCGGGAATATGCTCACCAAAACGCCGCCACAGGGCAGAGCAGGGATATGATTGTGGCACTTCCAGGAGATCGAGAAGAGAACCAGGGCGGGGTGTGCATGCTGTCGCCACCCAGTCATCTGATTTGGTGCAGGTGGTATCGAAGCTGGTTTCAGCCATAGATCACTCTGGATTGATTACAGGTACAGGACAGCCGCAGGCGATGCACTGCCAGTGGTGTGAGAGCTCCCATCACACCGTGGAGGACTGTCAGGCGATGAGGGAGTCGTCTACTCCCCAGGAGCAGGTGGACTCATCAGTAATGCCAGGTGCTTCGACCCCTACAACAACACTTACAACGAGGGGTGGCAAATTCCAGACCACCAGATCCCCAGGGACCACCTAGCTTCTAGAGTCCTCCTTACCAGCCTAGACAAGGGAAATTTCAGCAGCCACAGCAGCCACTCTACCTGCCCAGACAGGGGCGAGTTCCACCTCAGTCACAGGTGCGGCCATTTCAGCAGACAGGGGCGGCACATGCAGCCCCAGCTCAGAGTGACCCGATGGCAGAACTGCGAGATCTGGTGGGTTCTCTGGCCACCTCCAGTGCAAACAAGTTCAATAACATCGAGCAGTTCATGGAGAAAGCTTCAGGCAAATTCATGGAGCTAGAAGCTGGTCAGAGAAACACGCAGGCTGTTCTTCGGTATATCCAGACCCAGCTTGGGAGTGTTGCCCAGGCTGTAGGTAAGAGGCCTCCTGGTACTCTACCCGGTCAGACCATCCCTCATCCGCAGAACCTGAATGAGCACTGCGGGGCCATTACCACCAGGAGTGGCAAGGTGACTGCTGATCCACATGTTCGGGCAGAAGAGAGAGACCC